TTACACCATTGTATTTAATACACTTGAGTGGCCATGGATTTTGCTATCCACAAGGGGTCTTGGATCATGGCAAATGCAGGGAAAGAGAATTTGAAGCTATTACTTTTTCACCACAGTGTGCCTTTCTTTGCTCCATCTAGGACCGTCCCATCCTACAACACTTTCTTGACACATACGGCACAGAGCCCGCCAGATCTCATCCCGCAACGTGCATGGGCAAGCGAGTGGTGTGGGTGATGTGGGATGCCGGGTGACAGATTCACCCCAGTGCCCCAGGATTTGCTCCACAGCTCTACAGGACTCCTCGCTGTCCCCCATTTCAAGCAACTCAATGTGATGATGCCCTTACATTATTCTATTCAACAGTAAATCTGACCATAGTATTTGAACAAGTACTACATGAGTAAACAGCCCCATCCTCTGAAGAATTACTCTGCTGAAACTTCCACTGATATTAATATATTGGTGGGAATGTGCATCCTTCCAGAAGTAGTTGAATTTCTAGCACCAATGCCTGTCAACAATATATTTTTAAAACATAATTTCCAGCCTTGATTAAGAAGATTAAAGTAGATCAATTGAACCAATGAGATTTAGACAAGCATTGGTTTACCATTAACATTTGAATTTGCTAGGATGGCTCCATATGGGACTACAAATAGGATTGATGACTGGCTCTTTCTAAAGTGCCTGTCCAATGTTAACCACAAAGTACTTCTAAATAGAAGGTTTTATAGAATCATAGAGTTATTTATTTTTTATTTATCATATCAGGAGCGAACCAAACAGTTGTATTGTATTTAAAACACACACACACAAAGTTTGAAAACTTGGCATTATACTAAATGTCCTTTGACTAGTAGCTGTCCACTTGGAGTGCCTCTGGTGTTGCTATAAGAAGGTCCTCCATTGTGCATGTGCAGGGCTCAGACTGCATTGTAATAGGTGGTCTGTGGTTTTCTCTTCTCTACACTCATATGTCCTGGACTCCACTTTGCAGCTGAAAGAGACCATCTAGGCTAACTCCCTACCATGCAGAAAAAGCACGTCAACGTACCCCTGACAGATGGCCACCCAGCCTCTGTTTAAAAGCCTCCAAGGAAGGAGCTTCCACCAGATTCTGAAACATAGAGTTCCACTGGTGAACAGCTCTCAAGGGCAGGAAGTTCTTCCTAATGTTCAGGTTTAATCTCCTTCTTTGTAATTTGAACCCTTTGCTCTGAGTCCTAGAACCAGATCACCCACTTTACTATGACCCCCATCCCACAGCGGGAAACATCACTGCCCAGCTTCCCCCTATTGCTCCTAAGGAAACATGGAAAGCTTCCTGTATTGCCATCTCAGGGGCATACACCACTTGCTTTCCTCTTTCAGCACGGAGCCTGACCAGAAGTCCTTGTGCATCGTATAATGGGCTCCATGCCGAAAATGGAGAGCAAGCAGCATACAACGGGCAAATTAGCCACTGAGTAGGTCGCTAGTCTCCAAGGCAGCAGAAAACAAGCCTGTTTCCTCTTTTGACATCCTTTCATATATTTATACATGGCTATCATGTCTCCTTTCAACCACCTCTTCTGTAGGCTAAACATACCCAGCTCTTTAAGCTGCTCCTCATAGGGCATGGTCTCCAGACCATGGATCATTTTAGTTGCCCTCCTCTGGACACCTTTCAGTTTATCAATATCTCTTTTAAACTGTGGCGTCCAGGATTTCTAAGCTACCAAAGACAGTGAATAGCCAACCTGTTTTTCTGTCGTTAGTCATATTTGGTTTTGGAATTTTGGAGAGATAAAAAAGATGAAAGGAGCATCGGGGAAATGCAGGGAAGAAACAAATGGAAGGCAGTGTTATTTGGACCCAGTAGTGAAATCACAGTCAACGGCTGACCTATTCTACAGCTGGATTAATACATTACACAAACACATGAAATTTACACACCACTGTAGCCCTACTAATGTTAACTTTTTGGATGTCATGGTTTTCAAAAATGGTCAGAAACTACTAGTGAAAAATTATAGTAAACCTACAGATAAGAATTCTTTCTTACATTTCTCCAGCTTTCACCACTTTTCTCTTAAATCCAATTTACCATTTTCTCAGTTTCTAAGACTGAAACGTAATTCTAGCACACAAAAGGACTTTGAATTTACGGCAGGTATCCTGAAAAAACAACTCAGAGAGAGAGGATACCCTAATAGGATACTCAACACAGCCATGAGCAAGGCAAACTCCATCAACAGAGGGGAATTACTACAGGAACGTCCTAGAAAACATAACAACCGCATAATATGGCCCTTGACATTGACACAAAATTCATCCAAAATCACTAGGATTATTTCAAAACACTGGCATTTACTACAGGACATTCCTGGATGCAAAGACAAACCTATTATTGCCCACAAAAGATCCAGAAATTTAAGGGACCTCATGATCCACTCTGAATATAACTCTTCCAGTACATCTCATGAACCCACCACTAGGGGGCACACTAGCTGTGGACATTGTAACTGCTGCCAACAATCACTTAAAAGTAAAATATACTCTCACCCTACACTCAATATCAAGGTCACATTACAACATTTGACAACATGTTCCAGTGATAATGTAGTATATCTATTAGAATGCCCCTGCAAATTATTATATAACTACTAGACCCCTTAAAATTAGGATAAATGAACATCGGTCACACATAAGGAATGGGTCCACTGACTCTTCACTATATGTACATTTTAATGAAAAAGCACATACACACCATAGTTTTAAATTTTGCGCTTTGGAAAAAATATTACCCAGACCAAATGCGGATGTAAAAAAACTCCTTCTGCAAAGGGAATCTTATTGGATCTTTAAACTACAAACACTGGTTCCTCTAGGACTAAATGACAAAATTGAATACACTTGTTTCTTGTGAGATGTAATTCTACTTAAGTGTTAGCCAATCCTTACCTCATTGCTCGTTATAGAACTCCTACTATTACAGAGCCTGTATTGCTGAAGAGAATGTAAGTAGGGTAGCGTGTTTCTTTACTGTTATAAAATGTTTCTCTAGCAATGTTATTTTGGGAGTTTCATGTATCTATTGTGTATGTTATTTCTTCTCCCTATTTAGTGCACTAAGCATAATATTATAACAGACTACACCCTGAGGAAGATATTTGTTCGAAACAAGGATAACAAACCGGAAGACCTTGTTGATTTTGTTGCCTATGAAAGATTGTGTTACCTAAGAAGAATTCCTTGAGACTGAGATTTTGTTGCCTAAGAAAGACTGTGTTGCTTAAAGAAGAATTCCTTGAGACTATCTTGCCAAAAGAAGAATTCTTTTGAAGATAAAGATAGAGACCTTTTAATTCCTTCACTGAAAGGATGGACTTTATTATCTTTAGTCTGTTGTTTATTTCTCTATAATAATGTGCTGATAACAATTTTGTTTTATGTATAAATTCTCAGACAAGTTATACTAATAGAGAACACAGAATACTGCTGTATATTACTGTCTTGAGAGTCTATTTAGATTTACATACATATATTTCTGTTCTAAGAAACAAATGGAAGGCAGTGTTATTTGGACCCACCACCATAAAATTACATAATAAGTGCCAATCCTGTCTGGAAGTACCCTTAGGGTATTTCTTTTATGTGTTTTTACTTAAATGTAATACATAATTTTTCTTTCACTTCTTATCATTAGCAATCAGAAACATAATTATTTTTATTAATAATGATAATAATAATAACAATAATTGTATTACCCCCCTCTCCTCATGACTCAAGGTAGGACACAGCACAATCAAAACACCCAAATATTGCAAAAATTCTATAAACACACATATTAAAATTGAGTTCTATAAAAGACACATATTAAAATATATTTCTATAAAATACATATTATATACACAGGACAGAGATTAAAACATTGGGCACAAATTTAAAATTCATGCTTAAAACTGGCGGGGTAGCCCTGCTGGAAGAGATAATCTTTAGATTTTTTTTTATTCTGACAGCTCATTTACCTGTCGGAGGTCTCCTGGCAGGTCATTCCACAGTCTTGCGGAGGCCGATGAAAAGGTCCTCTGGGTGGTGACTGCCAGTCGAGTACTGGCAGGGTGGAGTAGCTCCCCCCCCCCCCCCCGAGAACCTAAGTGTGTGGGATAGATTGTATGTAGGTAACCTGGATCCAAACCATGTAGATCTTTAAAGGTCAAACCCAACCTATTTACTTTGCCTGGAAACTAATTGGCAGCCAGTGGAGTGATGTCCTGGATGTTCCTGTCCCCCCCAGGTTGAGAAATGCTGCTTTCAAGACTCCATTAGACTCTCAGACCAGAGAGATGCTTTAGACTTTGAATTGTTGGTTCTAAGAATTGTGCCCTATGTTATCTGCACAGGGAAACTACTTCAACTACTTGCCTTGCATGAATACCAGTGGGTATTTCCCACTGGGGAGAAGATTGACTCAAGCGAGTTTTTAATTCTTCTCAGGAAGATCATGCCTTGCCAATAGGTTATGATTACTCCAAATAGTATGAGTTGATCAATTGATCAAAATAAAGTCGTTTTTGCAGGAATACACAACTGAGTCCCTCACAAAAGATTATCAACCAACCTCTGCTCCAAAAAGCTCCAAAAATGCTGGTGCCTTACCAAACTATGGCTCTGAGGATTCTGTAGCATTGAACCAGGGCAATTAAAGTGGTGTCGAAATGCATTTACGTCCACAATGTAGATCAGGCATGGGCAAATTTGGATCCTCCAGGAATTTTGGACTTCAACTCTCACCATTCCTAACAGCCTGGGGTCCCTTCCTTTTCCCCCTCAGCTGCTTAAGCCGCTGAGGGGGGAAAGGAAAGGGCCTGAGGCTGTTAGGAATGGTGAGAGTTGAAGTCCAAAACATCTGGAGGACCCAAATTTGCCCATGCCTGGTGTAGCTATATGCTTGCTCTTTTGAATCTTTTTCAGTCCTTTACTTTCTCGCCCCTGCAGCCCAGACCCTGACTTACCTCTTGTGGAAATCCGTGACGCCTGTCTCCAACCTGTTGAGCGGTTGTCTGGGGTTTTGCCCAGGTTTTCTTGCAGAGCCTCCCAGGGATGGCAGAGACAAGAGCCAGGAACCCTGCCAAGCCCCCTCTTCTCCTTCCTCCAGTCGCCCAAGTGGATCTTCCCCTCCCTGAAAAGAAACCCTCTTCCAAATCCCTTCGTTGCTCTAGTCCAAAGTCGAGAGTTGCTTTCGGAAAAGAAACATCTTCTACAGTCTAAATGGGGTTACTTTCTGATCTCCCTTTTCGGGGATGCTCAGACTGAATTGACTGAATGAAGAGACTCAATCGGAGCTGTCCACCCTTGTGGTGCTGAAGAGGCGCGCCTGCTCGCTCTGCTTCCTGGAGTGGACTCGCCTCCTCGGTTTGAATCCCAATTCTGTGGTCTCCTCCCACTTCATCTCGGCGCATCAGATTTCCTCCTGTCTGTTTTGGGAAAGGAGAGAGAGAAAGACAGCAGACCTGGGTCCAAGAGCGGGAGCTTGTGGCTTGATGAACCTCCCACAGTATCCCTCCCCACAGCATTTGAAAAACAAATTAAATCATCCAGACTTTAAATCCCACACGGTTTGATGTTGTTCAAATAGGTCTGGAAGCCAAGTCCTATGAGGAGCAACTTTTATTTATTTATTGTGTCAAAAGCAAATTTAGAATACAGTTAATGAAGGTGAAGGTTTTCTCCTGACATTAAGTCCACTTGTGCCCGACTCTTTCTAAGCTGAAGAGCCAGAGTACTCCATAGACATCTCCAAGGTCATATGGCTGGCATGACTGCATGGAGTGCTGTTACCTTCCCGCTGGAGCAGTACCCATTGATCTACTCATATTTGCATGTTTTCGAACTGCTAGGTTGGCAGAAGCTGGGGCTGGCAACAGAAGCTCATGCTGCTCTCTGGATTTGAACCTGTGACCTTTCGGTCAACAAGCTCAACAGCTCAGTGGTTTAACCCATTGTGCCACCGGGGACTCTTATACAGTTATAATATATAAAAAACCCTACAAAGTTAAAAACTTGTCATTATGTTAAATTTCCTTTGACTATAACCTGGTCATTTCAAGTGCCTCTGATGTGGCTGTGAGAAGGACCTCCATTGTGCATGTGGCAGGGCTAAGGCTGCATTGTTGTAAGTGGTCTGTGGTTTGCGCTCCTCCACACTCGCATGTCCTGGACTCCACTTTGTGGCCCCATTTGTTAAGATTGGGTCTGCACCTCGTGGTACCAGTGCACAGTCTATTGAGCACCTTCTATGTCGGCCAGTCTTCTCTGTGACCAGGAGGGACTTTCTCATCCAGTATCAGCTACTGATTGAGAATTTGGGTTTTAGCCTGCCACTTTTGGACTCTCACTTGTTGAGGTGGTGCTGTGAGTATTTCTATAAATCTTAGGAAGCTGGTTTAAGTTGTTGGCATGCTGGCTGATATCTGAACAGAGGATGGGCCTGAGGTGTCAATGCCTTAGTCTTCCCAGTGGATATCAGGTGGTGCAACACTGATTAAACCCTAATTTCTCCGGTGGTGTTAGGTGTAGACATCCTGTGTTAATGTGACATGTCCCATTAAGAACCATATCCACTGTTTTAACATGGTGAGGTGTATTCCACACTGGGCATGCATATTCAGAAGCAGAGTAGCAAAGTGCAAGGGCAGGTGTCTTCACTGTTTCTGGTTGTAATCCCCAGGTTGTGCCAGTCAGCTTTCATATAATATTATTTCTAGAACCTACTTTTTGCTTGAAAGTTAAGCAATGCTTCTTGTAAACCAGAGCACAGTCCAGGGTAACTCCCAGGTATTTGGGTGTGCTGCAATGCTCCAGTGGGATTCATTCCCAGGTAATCCTCAGAGCTCGAGATGCTTGTCTGTTCTTAAGATGAAAAGCACACATCAGCATTTTAGATGGATTAGGAATAAGACGGTTTTCCCTGCAATATGCAATAAGAGCATCTAACGCTTTGAAGAGTTTCTGTTCAACCATTTCAAAGCTCCCTGCTTGAGTGGTGATGGCACAATCATCAACATAGATGAAACTCTCTGTCCCTTCTGGCAGTGGCTTATCATTGGTGTAAATGTTCAACATTAATGGAACAAGCATGCTCCCCTGAGGCAGGCCGTTCTTCTGTTTTTGCCGGGAGCAACGAGGAGCAGCTCAGGTAGCTAGGTATGTTTGGCTTGGAGAATGAAAGGTTGAGAGAGAACATGAAAGGATGTCACATTGTTTTTTGTTGCACTAGAGACCAGGACCGTGAAGGGCCACCCAAGACGGGACGGTTGTGGCAGAGAGGTCAGACCAAGCGTGATCCCTGGGGAAGGCAATGGCAAACCACTCCAGTATCCTTGCCAAGAAAACTAAATGGACCAGTACAACCAGAGATATGTTGGTATGCCATTGGAAGATGGGACTCCCAGGTCGGAAGATGGCCAAAATGCTACTGGGGAGGAGCAGAGGATAAGTTCAACTAGCCCCAGATGTGATGACACAGCTAGCTCAAAGCCGAAAGGAAGGCTAGCGGCCGACGGTACTGGAGGTGAACGACGAATCCGATGCTCTAAAGATCAACACACCATAGGAACCTGGAATGTAAGATCTATGAGCCAGGGCAAATTGGATGTTGTTATTGGCGAGATGTCAAGACTAAAGATAGACATTCTGGGGGTCAGCGAACTGAAGTGGACTGGAATGGGCCACTTCACATCAGATGACCACCAGATCTACTACTGCGGACAAGAGGAACATCGAAGAAATGGAGTAGCCTTCATAATTAATAAGAAATTCGCTAAAGCGGTGCTTGGATACAACCCAAAAAATGACAGAAAATGATCTCAATTCGAGTGCAAGGAAAGCCTTTCAACATTACAGTGATCCAAATATACGCCCCAACCACAGCTGCTGAAGAAGCAGAAGTAGATCAGTTCTATGAGGATCTGCAGGACCTACTGGATAATACACCAAAAAGAGACATTATTTTCATTACAGGAGACTGGAATGCCAAGGTGGGAAGTCAAATGACAACTGGGATCACAGGCAAGCATGGTCTGGGAGAACACAATGAAGCGGGACGCAGGCTGATAGAATTTTGCCAGGAAAACTCGCTGTGTATAACGAATACTCTCTTCCAACAACCTAAAAGACGGCTTTATACATGGACCTCACCAGACGGTCAACACCGAAATCAGATTGACTACATCCTTTGCAGCCAAAGGTGGCGGACATCCATCCAGTCGGTGAAAACAAGACCTGGGGCTGACTGTAGCTCAGATCACGAACTTCTTATTGCTCAATTTAGAATAAAACTAAAGAGATCAGGGAAAATACACAGACCAGTTAGATATGATCTCACTAACATTCCTAGTGAATACACAGTGGAAGTGAAGAACAGATTTGAAGGACTAGATTTAGTAAACAGAGTCCCAGAAGAACTATGGACAGAAGTCCGAGACATTGTTCAGGAGGCGGCAACAAAGTACGTCCCAAAGAAAAAGAAAACCAAGTAGGCAAAATGGTTGTCTGCTGAGACACTGGAAGTAGCCCAAGAAAGGAGGAAAGCAAAAGGAAACAGTGATAAGGGAGATATGCCCAGTTAAATGCGCAATTCCAGAGGTTAGCCAGAAGAGATAAGGAACTATTTTTAAATAAGCAATGCATGGAAGTGGAAGAAGACAACAGAATAGGAAGGACAAGAGACCTCTTCCAGAAAATTAGAAACATTGGAGGTAAATTTCAGCAAAAATTGGTATGATAAGAAACAAAGATGGCAGGGACCTAACAGAAGCTGAAGAGATCAAGAGAAGGTGGCGAGACTATACAGAAGATCTGTATAGGAAGATAATATATTGAGGATAGTTTTGACGGTGTGGTGAATGAATTAGAACCAGACATCCTGAGGAGTGAGGTTGAATGGGCCTTAAGAAGCATTGCTAACAACAAGGCAGCAGGAGACGACGGGATCCCAGCTGAACTGTTTAAAATCTTAAAAGATGATGCTGTCAAGGTGATGCATGCCATTTGCCAGCAAATATGGAACACACAAGAATGGCCATCAGACTGGAAAAAATCAACTTATATCCCCATACCAAAAAAGGGAAATGCGAAAGACTGCTCAAACTTCCGTACAGTGGCCCTTATTTCTCATGCCAGTAAGGTAATGCTCAAGATCCTGCAAGGAAGACTCCAGCAATACATGGAGCGAGAGTTGCCAGATGTTCAAGCTGGGTTTAGAAAAGGCAGAGGAACGAGAGACCAGATTGCCAATATCCGCTGGATAATGGAGAAAGGCAGGGAGTTTCAGAAAAACATCTACTTCTGCTTCATTGACTATTCTAAAGCCTTTGACTGTGTGGATCATAATAAATTGTGGCAAGTTCTTAGTGGGATGGGCATCCAAAGCCACCTTGTCTCTCTCCTGAGGAATCTGTACAAGGACCAAGTAGCAACAGTCAGAACTGACCATGGAACAACAGACTGGTTCAAGATTGGGAAAGGCGTACGGCAAGGCTGCATCCTCTCACCAACCTTTTTAACTTGTATGCAGAACACATCATGCGATGTGCGGGGCTGGATGAATGCAAAGCTGGGGTGAAAATTGCTGGAAGAAACATTAACAACCTCAGATATGCAGATGACACCACTCTGATGGCCGAAAGCGAGGAGGAGCTCAGGAGCCTTCTAATCAAGGTGGAAGAAGAAAGCGCAAAAGCCGGGTTGCAGTTAAACGTCAAAAAAAACCAAGATTATGGCAACAAGAATGATTGACAACTGGGAAATAGAGGGAGAAAATGTGGAGGCCGTGACAGACTTTGTATTTCTAGGTGCAAAGATTACTGCAGATGCAGACTGTGGCCAGGAAATCAGAAGACGCTTACTTCTTTGGAGGAGAGCAATGTCCAGTCTCGATAAAATAGTGAAGAGTAGAGACATCAGACTGGCAACAAAGATCCGCCTAGTCAAAGCCATGGTATTCCCTGTAGTCACCTACGGATGTGAGAGCTGGACCTTAGGGAAGGCTGAGCGAAGGAAGATCGATGCTTTTGAGCTGTGGTGTTGGAGGAAAGTGCTGAGAGTGCCTTGGACTGCGAGAAGATCCAACCAATCCATCCTCCAGGAAATAAAGCCCGACTGCTCATTGGAGGGAAGGATACTAGAGACAAAGTTGAAGTACTTTGGCCACATCATGAGGAGACAGGAAAGCCTAGAGAAGACAATTATGCTGGGGAAAGTGGAAGGCAAAAGGAAGAGGGGCCGACCAAGGGCAAGATGGATGGATGGCATCCTTGAAGTGACTGGACTGACCTTGAGGGAGCTGAGGGTGGTAA